TAAAAAATTAATAATTGTAACGATTAATTTAATTTTTCAGATTATATCTACATTAAAAGAAAACTATATAAATATATATATTTTTTTAATTCATCCATTTAATTTTTATTTTAAGTTTTAAAACAGTTTAAATAAATATTATTTACTATTTTATTACATATTTTGATTGTTTTTACATTTTTTAAAATGTCGTTTTATTGAGCATATTTTAAAGCTTATTTTAAACTTTTATAAAACATATATTACAACTTTTTAGAGCATGAACGTCCGCCTTTTAGTTATTATACAGTCATGGATAGTAAAATTTTTTTAAACAATCTAAAATAATCATTATAAAAGCAGTTAACTGAGTTAACCCGATCTGGTTTCAGTATTCCTTTTACATTTTTCAGTGTTGTAGGTATGTTCACCAGCAAAACGAAGAACGAAAACTGCTAAGGAATTCATTCATTTGCATAAATGAAATTGTTTCTTTTATTTTTATAATTATTTTAATTTTATATATTAATTTTTTTGATTATTAGTGCAACAGCTCCAAATTTTGATATACATGAAAATTTATGGATGGTTTAATTAAATAGCTATAATGCTACAAAAATATCTTATAATATCGAATTCATGACCACTCTGACGTAATTATCTTTAATGTTTTTTTCCTTATTGTATTTTTATGAAGAACGCATTCGTAGTGGAGCAAAAAGTATTAAAAATATTCTTACAGATCTGTATGTTGGAGTATGTTTTTGCCGCAGTTATTCGCCTTCGTCAGAAAAATTCGCTTCCACGTTTCAATTCCATTAACTACAGACTACAAATGATACTAAATATATATATATATTTAGTAGCCGTAGCTGTACAATATGAGAAAACGTACTGAACTTTCAAATAGACAAAATTTGAAATGACAAAGAACAGTATTTTGGACGATTGTTCGCCGTAGTCATAAATCATGAGTGTACACATAATATTTCGTCACGAGAAAACATTCGTGTAAAGCTTAAAAAAAAAAAACTCCCAGACGAAAGACGGTAAAAGTGTTGTACAAATGGAATAAAGTGTCAAATAAAAGTTTCCAGAAACCATAAATCATGCTAACCTAAGACCATAGTGAATTGTATTGTGCATATAATTGTTCAAAACGTGGAATACTGAAAGCTTATTTAAATGTTGTAATTCCAACGGATGTAAAATATATATTCAGTGGTATAATAAAATAACAATCACGCAAATAATGTCCATAAATACATTTAATTCAATAAATCTGCTATATAACTAAGACTTATGATTTGTTTCATTATTTGTTTTAATATTTTTTATTTCTTTTTTTTTTTAAGATCATGAGTATTATAAAGTTGTGAAAAAATATGAATAAATGAAAACAAAATAAAATTCTGATTTAAATGGTTTTGTGCAATATGTCTTTCCTAAAAAATATTAATGAAACACGATCGGAAATATATAAATTATACTATTAATATGTGTTATAATATATTCGATTTAATTATCCATTCGTATGGCTTAATGACTTAACAACACTACAGCAAGTTTTATTTTTCTTAATAGAGCCCCACTTTATACGTAACCAATACCAACAGCAGGCGAAGATGCTCAGCTTTTAAAATCAACAGCAGCAAACGGAAAACATGTTTGTTGAAAATTATAATTGAAAATAAATGTCATTTATGCGTTTTTTGATATCATTTTATTTTTCCATTCAATTTAAATGGGTAGGTGCAATGCATTTAAGTTTTCTATTATTGAATTAATTAAAATATCGTAAGACTAAAGCCTGATTTTAAATATCTGTACTGAGTACACTTTAACTTTTTGTATACATGACCGCATTATTTATTTAAATTGCGTGCACCATTTAAATAAAACCAATTATTTTCAGCAGCTATTACATAATTAAATCAACATTGACTTTATTAACGAATATTTGTTACGCTTATATCATATTTGCACTGTTTCGACTTCGTCATTATCATTTAATGATTCAGTCATTCGAAAACTATATGTATTTATGAGAATTTCAACTCCAATTTCATAGTCATTGCACAATATTTTGAGATTTGATGTTTTCGTTTTTCGTTGTGAGATTTGACAATTATTTTGGGTTAAAATACAATCTATTTACATTTACCTAAAAATCTTCCACCACATACTTCAGTATTTTCAAGTTATCTCAAATATATGTATTCTATATTTTTCGTTAAACAAATTTGTTAGCAGCTAACTGTAGATGTCATCGAAAATTTATTTTTGGATTTCCAAATAACGGTTATGTATAACTTATGCAGTTGGCGCCACTAAAAAACGTAACTCCATACGTAACGTAATATTTTTACATATAACGTATTTTGTGTATCTTTGCAAACTTGAGGAATTCAATGTAGCTCGATAAATTAGTATTACTTTAAAAACACAATTTTATCTATCATATTTTCAAAGAGTTTCTTTCAAATAAATATTTATATATCCGTTTGAGTAGTTTACGAACCAAAGTAGATTTTTTGATATCAGGAAATTTTTAAGATAGAAGGTTCTCAACTGCTGGCATAAGGTATTGCTTCTTATCTTCCTGTTTAGTCAACACAAAATTATAACTTTACACGTGAGTGATTCCACGTTCTGCGATTATTTTTGTGTGTACAATTTAATAGTACCCTACTGTGTAGGTGTATATATTTACTACTTAGATTTCGTATTCAAGCGAATGTTATGTAAAACTACCCTTAGAAATACATAATTATACGTTTCAAAGTGTTCGTTATAATTTAACCGTTTTGTTTAATAGTATACCAATAGACATGGTTAATTATTTTCCACGATGTTGATGGTAAATTTGTTAAATAATACTGCTCTTTCATGTGTTTTTTTTAAAGTTTAAGTTGTTTAACTTGAGCTTTTGAGCAGAGGTTGATTCTGGTTAGTGGAAGTGAAATTGGTCCATTGAGAATTGAAATGACAACTTTGGTTTTGTCTCTCATAAAACTTAATGCCTCCTAATGTAAATATTTTTAGTTTTCCCTCCGTCATGTTCAGTAGTTAGAATTTCGTATTCGAGTTTAATTTGAAATTATTAAATTACGCAATGAACAAGTCTTGGAAAATTGATCTGCGAGCGCCGCCCCATTTGTTGAATGAAATTAATCGTCATTTTGGTGAAATAATACATTTGTAGCTTTTAAATTAGGTTTTGCGAATGAATATTATTATTTTGGATTTTTGGCGTTGTTTAATTATACATTAAATTGCGAGAACAATAATAATCGTGCAGTATTCGTCGTGTTATTATTAATAAATGCGTGTCTCTTCATTGTGTTTGTCCATTTGTTAACTCATACATTCATGGTAATATTGTTTGAAAAAATAAATAAATAAATAGCATTGCATATTATAATTATACATAATTATAATATTTTTTTCGTTATTACAATAATAAATGTCTTAAAAACGAATTTTGTACAATATTATCGTTTACCTTATGGCTGTGGTATGCAAGGGCGCAGGGAAGAATTATATGAAGTTAGGACTTTGGAAATCGGGTTCGAACCCCCAACCACCTCCTCCTTACCTACACCGCTTATGGTATGTAATATAATAACAAAAAAATACTGTTCGTATTCGTAATCATGGTTAACGAATTACAAAACGATTTTATCGACTTCCAGAAAATATTATAATTACTTTTTATTTGCATGATATTTAATTATGAGCGAGATTGCCGTAACACGCACGCATAACTCTGTTATGTTTATCTCATGTTTATCGCAGACCGTATCTATGCTTATATAGTAGCGTACCCAAGTTTTCTACACATGTCATAAATTTAACGTATTACACAACATATTAATATAGCTGTCAACGCAATAAATTATATCAAAATATCTTTATTCCAAAGTTCATAATCAAAACTTTAAGCTAATTACGATTATAAACGTAATGCAACAAGCACACAAACACTCAAATACATAAGCGTGCTATAATATTTAAATAAACATGGTTGTATTCGTATAGCTTCGCGTGTAGTTAACACGCACATTTAGAATTAGATCGGTATTTCGTTGGGTTCTCGCACGTACACAAATGGTACACTTTCCTACCTCGGTAAATATATTTTGTGTATGTTTGTTTGTGTGTGTTCGTGACAATGAAGTCTGCGGGACGGTGTTGGTAACAAAGAAACAACGGGAATGAGAGAAAGAAGCCTTATATAAATCGATCACATAGCAGCTACTATATATAACGCTCAAAGTATATATATATATATATATATATATATATATGCGCACCAGTATTCCCGGTGAATATCAAATAATCGAACTCCTCGCAAAGCTGTTTTTCCCTTGTTCTTTTAATTAAACATTTAATTTCGTTTCTACTACTGCTCGAATCGGTATAGTAGCATTTCGTCGTTGCATACCTAATGACATTGTTTTATTGACAAAATATGACCAGATGATTTTTGTGCGCATGCCTGTGATTAGAAAATCAAAATATGTAACTAAATACGTGGACCAAGTATACGTCCGATCCAAAAAATATCTAGATATCACGACGGAGATTTCAAATAATTTTTCACCTTATTTATAATAAAAAAAAAAATATATTTGCAATAAGTCAAACGTATATAGATTAAATCAATGAATCACAACACGGATGTATTTTAATTTTTAGTATTTTTATAATTGAATAGAGTACACCTCCTAGAAATCCTAACGAAGAATCTGCCATATATCAATGTGCGTTCTTCTGATTTATTCCTTTGGTCCGTATTCAAAAGAGTGCATGCATCACATATTGAGAAAAATCAAAAAAAAAAAATGTTTTCTGAATTTCTGTTTAGAGAAGTGCTTTGGCGATAGTACTTTTTTTTTTTTTTTAATCTATGATAGCACAGAGTATTTTCTATCGGAGTACGAAAAAATATAACTTTCTATAACTATGTGCATAAAACTATTCTTTATTTGATTTTTCTTTTTTTTTTTTCGTTGCAGAAATAATTGTACCGACGACCATGCCAACAACTACATCGACGAAGACCACCACCACCACTACCACCACCACGACTACTACCACAATGACAACGTTGGCGACCATCACGAGGAAAATCGTTCCTCCGACAGGTAATATGTATTCAAATTAGTTAACAAATTATGTTCGTGACTTAATAATATGATGTTATACCGTCTCCCATCGCAGTAGGTTTGAAATTTTCGACAGTAACAGTAGCGGATAGTGTTAGTATACTCGTATGCTAAGAATATCGTCGACAGTATTGTAATAGCTTTAATAGACATAGTATTAAAATTCTACCGACTACGACTGCAGTGTGTTTCACTCGGCATTGGCTTGATCGACTTACATTTCATAGTTTGTGTTCTTTGGAACGGTATCACGAAACCAACAATAATTGATTCATAAATTTCTAACAGATTAGTATCGTGCTATAAAAACAATAAGTGTCCGACTTTGATACACTAAATAAGACCAAATTCATTTATATGATTCCCGTCTGGTTAATTTGCTTTTTCTCTCGCGTTTTGGTAGAACTTTAAGTACTGTTCGAACACACTTGATATACTAAAATGATAATTAAAAAACACATGCGATAATTGTATGCCAAAGCAACGACGTACATCACCGGAAGTCTCTGAAAACCGAATTCGAAAATGATACGAGCACAACGGTTGGTTAATAGCTAATATATCATCTGGAGTAGAAAAGCAAGAGGTCGTCAAAACGTTGTATTTATTTTTGACTACGAGTCAATAAAGTTCATAATATTCATTGTTTATGACATCAATTGGATAATATTATAATCTACTTCCAAATTCTCAGATTAATTTATAGTTCTTAGAAAGTAATCTTGGAAAAGTTTTCAAGATTAAAAAAAAAAAATAACTCCTGTCGATTCTTAAAAATTAACAAAACTGATAAAGAATACGTGCGGCAGTTTAGAAAAATTGAACGCAAGCCAACCGTTTTATGATAACGTTTTATTAAAAGTAATCTGCGTTCACAAGCGATTTACAGAAGCCCACGAATCCGACCATAAATTAATTTATAACATTCCATATTCTGGCACATCCCTCATTGACACATATATGTATAAATTACACAGTACCGCATTTGCTACATGATGTATACTATATAATTCATTCCGTATCGTAAAAAATACACGGCCCACATAATAAATGGACTCCACCGATATACGGTTATAAATAAACGAAAAAAAAAAACCTGGTAGTATTATACATTATTAATATTAGTATAACGATCAACCGGTTATAATGACCATCAGTCACAAAGGTTTAATATCATCACAGCCATTTCATCGATTTCCATACCGAGTACATTGACTACATACACTTATATTCTAATAATTGATCTATATATATATATATATATATATACAATTACATGCGACATTTTTTTTAACATAATAATTTATCATAGCGTATCACATATTCTTATGTATTAGAGAAGTTTTATGTCGGACCAAAATATATACAGAGATAGTTTTTAATAAAAATAATTATAACTCTTAAAATGTACTGATTTTATCAAGATATGTGTTCTTTTTTTGCAACTACGTACACAATTTTGACCGAAAAGATAAATACGATTATCACAACCATAAAATATTTTTGGTAATTGATGTGTTATAATACTTTGATGGAGGGCATTTTACAAATTACCAACATTTTTCTAAATTATTAAGAAAAACTGATGAAAAGATATACATATAAAACTTATACGTATGTCTTAAATATAAGCTAATTATTATTGTTTTTTTTCTCTTATTGAGATTCTGGTTTGTCCATAATTTTATATCTCCTTTTATTTTTAAATTTGGTTCATTGTTTTTTCCACATATTTTGCCACTCATAATTTAGCATTTTTTCGATAAGTTTTTTTTTTGAGTAATCATAGGAAATTATCTCGATTGGTAGAGTTTCTTTGTTCTTTTTATTGATAGCGAGGCATTTCCGTTCGCTATTTCATTGTATTTTATTCCTGTTTGACCAGCTATTTCATGATTATTTTTTTGCCTTGTTCAGCAAATTTGTTTAGGTTAATTAACATTTTTGTTGTAAAATTTGTGGAATAGAATGCCTTATGAGTGATTATTTTATTGCTTCTTACTTCTTATAGTCGCTAAAAACAATGTACTTTCAGTGTTCTAATATTATATTCCTTATACCAAGATAGCCATCAGTTCAGATGTAAATATAGAAGAGTTGAGTTGCGATTTTTGGAATAATTTTTCATTTGAAAATATCATGGACACTCAAATTACTTATTGAACTTTTGATCCGTTGGTGCTTATTTCATGGTGGTTCTTTTACATTTTAAGTATGTATTTCAAATAGTTTATGGATAGTTTTGTAAGATTATGGTATGCGTTTAATTGTTAATCATTATATATCATTATATATATTAATATAATAAAAATACACGTATATAATTATTATAATAAATAATTATAGCTGTTTGATTTTATTTCTGGAATTGGTTCTCCAGTCACAGCCAAATGATTATATTGCTAGTTTCATCAGTTAAATATATATTTATTTGCTGTTCTGAGTTTGTATTTGATTACAAAATCGAATTTAATTGTAATAACTTTTTCATATTACGAATAAATATAAATACATTTTATCAAATTAAAAAATAATTTTATTCTCAAAAATGCTGAACAATATATTACATATTTTTCATTTGGTATCTTACAGAGTATTTTATAGAATACCGGAACTCGATAGATTTGTTAATTAAATTATGATTGTGTGATATTCCTAATACGAGACGTATATTTGATTTGAGTATAAAAAAATATCATCTATTTTACTTGTTATTCGCAATTTACAAGATACAATGATTTATAATCCTCATGATATTATGTCAAGGAACCAATAGCATTTCCTTTTCAAATATTATATCCCTCCCAAGAAGAATAAGATTATTTTTTGAGAACTTTGCAGAGTTCGCTATTGTTATCACGAGAGAAAACATACAGACTATTTTTCCTTGCTACTTTTCTTTTTCGAGTTTCAATTTTTGAACTTCATACGATATTGTGATAAAATACGACACAGTATCATACAACACGCATACAACATGCGAAGGCTTTAAAAATAATTATTTACCATACTATTGTGTCAGATAAAGTATCCCATTTATCAAAAACATGAGGTTGTTCATTATTGTTATTACTATTATTATTTATTACTAATACTGTTAATTCAGAATGGTTTATAGCATTTTACCCATGAATTGTACATGTGTTAAAAATAATTTATATCATGTAAATTTCTAAAGTTATATATGAAAAAAAAAAAAAATCGTTTCTCGTAAGACAAATATTAAATTAATGTGAAATACATTTCCCATCACGAACGAATAAAATTATGTTTGTCACTTGTCATGTTGTATGTTACGTTTTTGTCGAGTAACATTTTATCGATAGTAGAAGAGAAAAGTTGTTAACGAGTTTTACACAAAACAAATTGACCAACTCGAAAAAAAAAATAATACGTAATAGTCGAGTTGAATAATAGAACCGTGTCTAGGGTGCGAGAGACAATAGATATTATATCCACAACTTTACTTATCTAAAATATTTTCGTAGATGGCAAGTTATTGTTCTTTCGAAATAATGTACAAGTCGCAATTTATCAAACGTTTAGTTATACGATTTACGTCTATATATTTTGAAAGTAATATAATAAAATAAAAATAAAATTTAACTGAAGTGATGCATATAAATTAGGCAAAGCATTATATTACCTTTTAGGCAGTGTAGAGTGAACGGTGAATATTAATTGTGATTTATATTATTACCTTATTACCGTTTGTATTAGTAGAATCTCTTCATATGTTCTGTTCTATGATTTCCCATGAGAATATACGATAAGAATAACGGAGTATAAACGGGTCGATTCACGATTCATTCCGTCAACAAAAAATTCTAAAATAACCCATATGGTGGTAAAATTACGAATTGTGTTTTATTGATTCAACGCTCTACGGGTATTCTTCATAATGACATCAAAGATACAAATAATGTTGTTATTCATTTGTAAATGTTGCTATTTGTACGAGTTTAAATTGATACTTCGTACTGTTATTACTAAATGCATCTTGTAGGTAATGAAATCTACTTAACGGTAGTTACAATAACAATTTATATCAGCGGTTCTCAAACTTTTTTTTTCGCGTACCACATGTGTATATTATCAGTCACGTACCATTAATTATTAAAAATAGAATCATACAAACTTCACATAGTTAAATATATTTATTTTAAATAAAAAGGCAGTAAAATACTAAAATAAAATTATTATTTATATATTACTACAAATTTATTAGTGTTTTAAATTAATATATGAGTTAAATATTGAATTTTTAATATCCGTTCTACCACCATGCGGCCTTTCGCGTACCACCATGTAGTCTTTTGCGTACCATTAGTGGTACGCGTACCACAGTTTGAGAACCACTGATTTATATTATTAGAGATAGACTTATTAAACATATTTTATTTCAACACACAAAATTATCAAAATAACAAACTAACGTTTCTTAATTTAAGTTTAGTTGTAGTCACGACAATTCATAGCAATTGTCAAGCGATCAACACTTGTAATAAATTTCCATAAAGTGTTATCATAAGTGGGAAAAACTACTAACTTGACATTTCACTCTTAACACCCCTGTTTATTGTAGATTTACCTCCAAAATTTCTATGGGTGGAGGGAATAATAGGTTAAAAAATAAAAAAAACAGACTTTACTATATTATTTTATGTCGAAAGGGAAAATACACATATAGATAGATCAGCGTATTTTTATAGCGTATCACTTATAATAATCTCTTTTTTGTTTTCCCCTTAAGCATATAATTAAAAATTAAATTAATTGATAATATATTACGATTCATCGCAATTATCTAATATGTGATGTTCCTATCAAGAGACATATATCTAATGACTAATAATTAACGTCTAATAATTGACTAATGTATAATTTAAAGATACAATATGATAAGATTTGGAATACATATTACATTATTAACATGGTGACATAACCATTCGACAGTTCCTAAAATTTTATTTGGCAGACTGACTCTGAACCCCATCTCTTCTTTTTTTTTTTTTGTTCCATAAGTCGGAAAACCATAACATTAATTTTATACACAAAAAGTTTTTTTACATAAAACCCAAAATAAAATAATTGCACATGGCAGTAATGTGCTAGTCATCTTTGAATTACATATTATTAATTAATCCAGTTTTAAATGGTTTAATCCAATGTCGTTTTTTTTCTTTTCTTTTTTCCAGTGATACCGTCTCCGGCGTCAAAAAGAAAGAACCATAAAATACCTGAAGGTAAAGTTGATCATTAAATATTTAAATTGTAATCAGATCTTGATTAATACAATTAATCAAATGGCTGCTACTATTTTTTTTATTTGATTAGAAAAACAGCTTATTTTGTTTTTCGTAATAATTACATCAAAAGAATTCATTTAAAATCGTAATTTTTTCTACCCACCGTAGAATTTTTACTATTATTATTATATCTATCATGATCTATATAAATTTATTAACTTTACATTTCATGAGGTACAACTCATATGTTTATAATTCCACATTGAGCATGGGTTCAATTAGTTCAATCGATTCGTGCATAGTTCTATCACATTCTGTCCGTTTGAAACGTCTCGATTTAAACGATATAATGTGTATAAACACTCGTATACTAGATAGCGTTGATGATGGTGGAAAATATTTTTTGTTTCCTACTACCTTTATACACGTGTTAATCAATCACACATTCTTTCATATTTTTGTTCAAGTGATTGATGTTAAACGTTGATTTAACTTAATATCATATTACGCACTATAATAACATTACTAACAAATACATGAATGTTAAAAAAATTGCTGTCCAAATACAGAAACGAATCATTCAATAACTCTATAGCTCGACTATCTTTCAAATATAGTTAAATCTGGAGAACCACAAAAAAAGCATTTAAAAAAAAACCTTCTTACCCTCCTCTAAAGCAACCCAACAACACCTTGGCCATTAAGGATCCAATATAAAGGTGATCCCTTTAAAACATATCTAGTCGAAGTCTTTAAGCCTCATGGTAACATAAACAACCCATCTTTTTCCAACGAAATTAAAATTTTTTTGATTTCCCCTCTGCAAATGACTCCACCCCTAAAGTGTTCTCTCCTGCTGAAGTTCAACATTACATTTATACATTATCAAAAAGGAACGCTCATAGCATTGATCACATAACCTACGAAATTGCCAAACACCTCCCAAGGAAAACTTTAATACTTTTCACATACGTTTTTAATGCAATTGTTCGATTATTTTACTTCCCGCTTCAGTGGAAATTGTTAATCATAATAGCCATTCCCAAACCTGATAAACCTCTCCAATTATCTTTCATTGTACAATCATATAATTCTTCTTCCGTTAAACTCAAAGGTAGTCGTAAAATTAATGCTCAAAAGAATTAGCCTTGTCATAAAGAACTTTAAAATTATTCCTAACACCCAGTTTGGCTTTCATAACCGTTATTCCATAATTCATCAAGTAAACCATATAACAGACACGATTGCCTCAGCTCTAGAAAAAAAAAACAATACTATTATGCCGTTCTCCTCGACGACGCATCGCTCAGGCTTTCGACAGGGAATGCATACTGGCCTCCTTTTTAAATTAAAAAAATTCTCTCGTCTGCTTTCTACCTATTTTTTAAGTTTTATCTCGAAAACCGTCCATTCAATGTCCAGTACCACTCAAGTCTCTCTCATATTTTCACTATTGAAGCCGGAGATCCCCAAGGAGCAATAACAGATCCCGTTTTTTTCAACATCTTCGTAACTGATCAACCCATTTCTTCTAACACTTCTAAAAAACAATCCTTTTAACACACGAAAACCCAATCATTGCCTCTATCCAACTGCAATCTCAACCCTCTCGCTTGGAAACCTGGTGTCAAAATTGGAAAGTTAAAATAACTGAAACTAAATCCTGCAACATCACTTTTACGCTTAAACATCAAATTTGCCCACAAATTACTTTCAACAACATCACAATTCTTTTTTCATCAAACATAAAATACCTCAGAATACATTTTGACAAAAAACTAAATCGGGCCTATCATTCTCATAACATCAAAATTAAACTCAATTCTCGTCTCTATGTCCTTACATTTTTCTATAACGTAAAATCAAAACTTACTACTCACACTAATCGTAACTTATACAAAACCATCCTTAAACCTATTTGGGTATATGGCATTCAAATATTGGGTTCCCCGCAAAAAAATCGTATATAAACAAAATTCAAATAACCTAAAATAAAATATATTTAGTTCAATTACAAAAGTTCTTTTCTATGTTTCCAATCAAACCATACACACAGACCTAAAAATGAACACCATGTTAGAAGCCGCTATCAAATTCCACGCTGATTATCATAACTCTTTCTTCGACCATCCAAATATCCTAGCTAAAAATCTTGCCAATCCAATGCCCGGCAACCCTCCCAAATACAAAAAAAAAAAAAAAAGGAATGTGACCTACTTTTCTAATTTAACCTTATACCATTGACAGGAGTGTCGTCAGTGGGTGGCTTCTCCTTCATGTCTTCTGGCAGCAACCATTAATGTTAACATTTAAATTTATTATATATAATATAGTATTAATTGTTTAACTCAAATAATGTACAAAAAATAAAAATATTATTTACTCGGTAATAGAAAATTATTGCTCACGCCAACTCGTATACTGTTTTTATCGCTTTTTGCCTTTAATACGTTTCACGTTTAATACGATTTCACTCGTCTACAAATCATTGTTTGTTTACGTTTTAATAATATAACTTGAGTAGAAAATTCACAATTCTCAACGGGTGTGATAGAGCTTTTCTATACGTGGGGGGTGCATGTGTTTATTTACCATTGCATCAGATTATATCATATCATCATCAGTTACGAACATTAACACATTTAACCTCAACACAGACCCGACTTTTGACTTGACTCCCTTAGATCTTTAAGAAATTGACAGAAATATAAATCAACATTACAAAAAAATATATAGCTTACAATATGATATACAGTAATATCAACCAATACTCAGAAATGAAACGCAACTTCATAAATTAACGTCGTACAAAATCACCACATATTTCGGTAATGTCTATACTAATCAAGGCTCGGGAGTTAAAACATTTGCTTATTTTTATGGATTGACTTAAAATATAGTAGAGTGCTATAGAAGTGTATGTAAAGTTATATAACAAGTACAATTATGAAATTTGAAAGTGCCTTTTTTTTTTTTACCTTTTTCAGCAATTTTTAAAAAAAGTGCTTATTTCCAGTTTTTCTAACTATTTTTGCTTATTTGACCAGTTTTTGATGTTTTTATATTATTCTCCTGCAAAGTCGTTTTTGATAGAATTAAAATTAAAATTAATTTTTATCTTATCTACGTTGTCGCATAGTTCATCTCCATCCAATGCATAGTTGTAGGGTTCACAGATATATTCCAATGCTGAAAATAGAACTGAATGTCAAACGTCAGAATGATTAAGAACAGAGAGAACAGTTTAAATTTTATTTTTAAGAAAAATCCCTTAGAAAATCCATAAAATACTTAAAGTCATGAAAGTGAAGATTTATTTTTATTTTGTTTTATTTTTTTTTAGAATTTTATTTTAATTTTTTTTTTTTTTTTAATAAAAATATTTTCTTAATTTAAAATTTTTTAAGTTCTTATTTTTGTTCTTATAATGATGGTTTTAAGCGCTTATTTTAATGATTTTAAGTGCTATAAGTTCCGTGCCTTGATACTAATAGTCTAAAGTTATGCCAGACCCATAAACGCAATATCCACATTTGAACTAATGGCGTTTAATATCAGATGATTGCTGTATCAAATATTTTGTATCGTCGAAGCTTACGACCGACTATATGAATCATATGACCAATAATTAGTATGTAAGCATTCTACCGGTCAATAGGCACGTACACAACTCACTGACGGAGTTAACGCTGTTAACTTTTATTCGTCTACGGGCGAATGTGTTGAATTAATTGAATTAATTTCACTGGATCCGCTTTATCAAATTACTCGGCCACCATTCGTATTATATAATAACAACGTCCAAACTATAACAAAATTAACAACATGTGGTTGTTTGAGTGTGTGTGTGCAGCAGCATATATTCTATTTTTTTGTGAGTAGGGTTTTAATTTATTCTAAAAACTGAGTAATTTCATAATATTATAAAAAAAAACAAGTAAGGTATATACAATACTTATATAAATAATACTGTTATTATTATTAATACAAATTAATAGTTATATACAACCACATGATATAAATTAATGTTATATTTTTCTGTACCTTCGTAGCAACTTATTTATGACTTGTTTTCTTCTGAAGGGGAGGTCAAAACTCTAGAACTCCCCTATTTCGAAAATTCACTGTGTGTGTATGTGTGTGTGGCAACAAAATACAATACTTGCACGAATATTCTGTATGCTTACACTATATGCGTTTATTAAGGAACCATAGTTAGTGGTGGAACTTGAAAATACATTGGGAAGCGAGTTATTCATTGGATCACGATTGAATCAAGCGCTTAAATAACTACTGACTTGGGTCACTAAAGACGCTTGATTGCAAATAAAGGACATTGTTATCATCATATGTTTATATAATCATAAAAAACGTCCTATATAATGGTCTATTGTTGAGGAATTGCACTCATTTAATTTTCTATTTCTCTCTTTCTGGCGTACAGTCATTATTATCAAGGGGTTAGATTTGGTTTTAAAAGTTTAGTGGTTGATTTTAGATTTATATTTAATAGACTGGTATATTTGAAAAACCACACGTACTTTGATTGTTTAAATCTTAATTTTTTTACGATATTTTGCACAGTTAATATATCAATATTTAATAATTTTACTTGTGATAAAATATTATATGACAAAAATCGTATAGTCTTCCGTACTTTGGTGACAAGGTCAACTAATAATAAACTTTTACCGCTGTAAAAATATATAGAAACAAAATAAAAAAATCTAGTCATTTAAGTGGTATTCTCGTAAAATTCCAAAAACATTATAATAACAAATTTCATTTCGGATTCCTCAAAAGTTAGCGCAACCACATTCTCCGGACTCCAGCCCAGTGATGCTCAAACTCTCTGCCACGGTGGGCCACTTTGGTACAATTATTTTTTAGTGGTCCACCAGATACAATAGTACGCATAATGTCAAATTAATCTAATAATAGATTTTTGTTGGTCATAGTATGTATACATTGACACGTAGGTTCATATTGGACTTGTATTCATATATCTTAATGACTGTTAGTAAAGATTGCAGATTTGAGGTACGCTGTATATTCACATTAATTCGATTGGTATACTATTTAGTTAATAAATAATATATATACCAGTATATATTGTAAAGCTATCAGATATAACAAAGACTAGATAATATTTACGGTATTTTACGAATAAAAAAAACAAATGGTGTCCATTTAAGGTCCCACGTGTGAAAATACAGTCGAGAAGACGTTCCTCACCCTTTCGTTTACGGTGGTGGAATTCGCCTCGCTGCAATAAGGCCACCCGTCGCGTACAATTTCATTTTCCCACGGGTTCCGTTGGAAATACTTTGCTCCACGCACAGAATATTATTTTTTACATTCACCCGCTACGACGACGTAACAACTATTGTACGTACGCCAAATGCGTCCGACTGCACAGTAACGGTTATTGTCGTCGCTGTTATTATTATTACTTTGCACATCTAGCGAACGGACATACACTATGACACTTATGGTACCTCTACCTAAATACACTATAATAGTCGTTTATATGTAGTTATACACGAACGGGTTTTTCGGATATATATACACACACACGCCGTCGACTATCACTAGTAGTAAAATATACATATCTTCAGTGCTTGATTTGGTAAAAAGAAAGAAGGGGGACTCTGTTTAGTTTAAAGAAAATAGCGTCCCTAAGACTTATTAAGCGTTATATTTATAACGTAATAATAGTAGGGGGACGCTAAAATTTCTGAAAATTAGTTGGGGTACTCCGTCCCCCTGTGTCCCCCCTCAAGTCAAGCACTGCATATCTTAAGTTACGAGCGTCCAATACTTCTACGAGTGATACAAAATGGAATTTTCATTAAGACCATCCTCGCTCTTCTTGATTACACCCTCTTGATCCAAACAGCATTAGATCAGCAGTGTTTGGAATATTTCATATCGTGCTTTAGCCAAAGTCAGTATTCCAACATCGGATTGTAATAATAGCAATATGAAAACGTTTCAAAACTTGTGTATAAATACCTAAATTATATCGCATTATCTTCGACGATTTGTAACTTTGTCTCAGCTTCTCTGTATCCTATACCCACGAAATCACCCTCATCGTCAGATTTCTCTCACTTACGCAAGAAATATATATATATATATATATATAGATGTGTCTATGTTTTCAGTCGTTTCGGGTTGTAATATTAATAATATTATTCGAAAACGTTTTGCAATTGGGCACGATACATCGTAATGGAAACACACAGCAGTTGAACGGTAAAAAACAATGGTGGTCGGGGTGGCGATGATGTTGCGCTGAAATTATTCTCGCCTCCAAATTGCCTCTTCAAAACGGTTTGTTTGTATTTGAATTATACTCCACCCTTGTTCGCCGACGAAATAATAATAATAAAAAAAAACAACCCTCACTCGTCATATGCGTATACACATACAGATAAACACACACACACAAACACAAACACATGTATATATATATATATATATAATCGTTTTTGCTGCTTTTACGTTATGCAAAATTTGCGTATTTATACACGTTTATATAAATATATAATATGCACACACACACACATTTAATCTTAATGGAAATGTAAAACTAAAATGTTTGGCGGGAAACGATAATTTACTCCTACAACGTAAATTTGGAATATTCAGATTTATTATTTTAATAAAAAATACCGAGAACCCACAAATATGTAGGCTTTAAGCAGAGTACAGATCTACCGTGGTTTAATTTCGTTCGTACAACAGTAGAAAAAAATGTCCTGCAAATATAGAAATTTACTATAAGGATACTATATTTTTTTATTTTATAAACGCGTTCTATAAATTATTATATAACAATTTTAGGAAAGTATGTAGATATAATGTAAAAATAAAAAAAAGGCAAGAAATTTGTACAAGACGTTTGAAAAATATTCGATTTTAAAGTACTTAATTATTGAGTAATCCAAATTCCTAGAGATTAAATCAAAGGCTGACGTATAAAACTATTATTTTCTTTGTCTCCGCATTTTTCGAAAGAAATCAATTGCACAACATCTTACTATACGAATACCATCACGTCTTGTGCATATCGACGATGAAATTAAATACATGCATCAACGAAGCCTCAACAGTTGACCTGGTGATATATATCATAAGCTCATTTCCGGAGAACCAGCGTTATGCATATCTATCGTACATTGGTTTACGATATTATTCGCTGCGAAACGGGCGTGATAGTACGAATCAATCATTTACTAGAGCACTCTGAAATGTTTCTCGTATCAGAAGAGTCGAAACAATGTGGGTTCAGTCACGTTCGAGAACGCTTTCGAATCAAATTTTAGAAAATGAGTTATTCGCGTAAACAATGAATGTCATTTGCTGGTTGCATCTAGAAAAATCGTGTCCGTGCTCTATTTTTGTTCCGTTTTCGTCTAAACCCAGGAGGTTCTTTTTCTGACATCGATCGATTTCATACATCAAACAGAACATAATCAACAAGTTTAGGATTCCGGATTAACATTTTAAAAAAAAAAAAACGATGGAATACTCTTATATTATTATTATTTTTTTTTTTTTTTTTTTAATTTCGTATTGCAATACGACGTGATTCAATACCGCGGGATTGATGTTTTTCATATCGTCCAGACGACACCAAACGCTGTATTCATTGCGTATGTTGGTTTCAGGGGACCGAAAGTCCGGCAGAAAGTCGGAAGACAAGACCAGGCGGCGGATGAATGGTATCGAGGAGGCGGATGAGATGGAGACAAAGAGCAGCAGCCACCGGGCCAGCCGTGGTTCGAGCTGGACGCGCCGGTCGACGGTCGGCCAGTCGCTGGGCGTCGCAGCTGAGCTGATGGCGCTCGCAGCCACCGCGGCCGGTTGGCCGGCCGGTTCTCCAGTGAACGCGGCTTCCGGGCTCGTTTCGCTGGCCGTGGCCGTCTCGCCGCCGGTGTTGCTCATGCTGTGGGACGGTTGCGCACCGTGATGAACGGCGGCGGCCAGGGCACCGACCCACACGGTGGACGAGCCCACGCACCACGCAAAGACCACGCCACCCTGGTTTCATCAGCTGCGAGCGACGCGGTCATAGATCATCCCTCAGCCCCCGCGATCAGAGATCTATAATCGTGGGTTATCCGTGTATCGACATGAAACTTAACCGCGCGATTCTATTCCCGTTGTTTAATGTTATCGTTTTTTTTTTTTTAATTTTTTTATTCGTTTTTCGTCTCGCGTTGTCTTAAAAGTTCGATCGGATCGAGAGAAAACAAAAAAGAAAAAAAAAAACGTTAGTCGGCCGGGTTTACCGTCCGTTTCGTTTCACCCATTGTTGACCGTTGTTCGTCACGAATACGTTTGTACGTATGACGTTCAATAGTAATAGTTTTCGTTTCAACGGAACAACAATGGTTATATGTATCCGGTATTAGTTATTTTTCTTTCATTTTCTTCCCCATCCAAGATCACAATACAATATTGCTCAAACGTGAACGATGTTTATAGAAACAGGACGATGTTTTCATTTGGTTTTTCGACGTCGAGTTTTTTCGTTATTCGGGGATTCCCGTCTTAATCGAATTTCGCAGCCACGATACTGTTTTGGCTATAACACGATTGAGCATAAAACGCCCTCTTTACCACACAATTGAGCAAATTTGTCTGCATGATGTAGAAATACAAATGAAACCTACACAAGTGACCGTAAAAAACTCATAGACGTTGCCAATTTCGATTTTGAACTACATTGATACTAATCTTCTTTCAACATTCTATTTTCTCAGTTAAATTTTAAATGTAATTGCATTGTCTAGAAGTTTCAACCATATTACGTTTATCTAATCCCAAGAAAATTGTTGCTAAATATTTATTATTGGTACGACTCCATCTCAAAAAATTTTGATTTTTTTCGTTCTTTCAATTAATTTATGTTTATAAATATCACTATGGCCAATGCTTTGCTTCTTTTCGAAAAAATTATTGTTACTTACAAATTAAAAAAGTAAAAAGTACACTATACAACTGTACAACGTTACACAACGCCTTGCGAAACGACTATAGGTGATCGATCGCTGTATAAACTCAATCATTTCTATAATAATTTTAGTTTGTAAATATCGTAACCATCTTATATTTGCTCCCGGTGCTGAATATTCAAAATATCAGTGTAGTACTGATAAAACTAATATCTATTGCATTCAATTAATCGGTAACGTTGCCGATAAAACTATGCTCGGCCCTCGGCACGTTTAAATTTAGTATCTTAATAATTGGTGTAATAATAAGTTACAACATTTCGGGAACTTGAATGTGGCAATGACGCATAAAATATTCTACGTTCAATCGTGTTGTCGAAAAGGTATACGCTCGATCGTGTTATGCTCAATCGTTCTTTACCGATTATTTTACGGTACACACCCGAAGTGACATTTTCATTTTTTTCTCCCCCCAACGGTGCATTAACGAATATTGTTTTAATTGAATATTTACGTGTGCATAACTATGCTCGCGGTGTACCCATATCTTATCATATTAAAAAAATTTTAACAATTTTATTTTTTATTTTTTTGTTCGTTATTGTTTTTATAATGTACAAAGACAGTGTAAGGTAACCATAATACAGTACCATTTGTAAATACCATATCAATTATACCTTATAATCCTGTACTGCATTGTTTAGACGGAAATTAATTGTACTTAATAAATTATGAAACGGAAGAAAAATATATGAAACTACTTATAATATATATATATATATATATATATATATATATATATATAAATCCTGCTATACGTGAATTGATTATACGATTTATAATACCTGATTTACAATGTTTAATAAAGATGCAAATAAACGAATAACGATAATATACAGATTATGTGTTTTGTTCGTTGTATATTATTTTGTATAATAAAATACATAATATTATGTAGTGTTAGTGTTTTTTGATGAATTTTTTTTTTTATATATATATTTATTTATTTATTTATAACAAACCGTGTACGGACAATTTGTTTTAGACGAATGTTTTTGTGTTATTTTTTTTAAATAAATCTATTCACAATAATATTTTGATTTTTTATAAAATGGTGATTTTGAACGATGAAACTAAATTGTTCTCAGACTAAAAAAAGTCTATTTTGTATAACCCAAGCAAGAAAATGAAATTTAACTTTGAATTAAATTATAATTAATTAAAAATTGAGTTCATATTTAAAAGATACTTAATGTTTTATATACATACCTAGTAAAAGAGTTTGACGTAATTCATTCGCATTTTAATCAAAAAATGTAATGCATTCCTACGGTAATTTCTTTTTTTAACGTGAACGCTGCATTCGTATAATTATATTTTAAATTTTCTATTTAAATATTATGTATACCATGACAGGAGCATAGTGGTTAGGAGTACATGGAACAATAGGGGTTGAATGAAGTGAATAAAATTAGACCACAAAAGTAATTTATATAATAATACGCGTATAACTGCGTATAATAATACATATAGGCATTGGGCACAGTACGTGACGGTGCGCAAATAAAATTTCAAAATATAATTAACCGTCGCCGCCGCCACCGTCGTCAGGGCATATATAAATATTTATGCGACGTTTGAACGAATTTCAACCGGTGAATTCTCATTCGAAAAGTGTACCACAAATTAACATCAGACAAAGGTATATATATATATACATGTATAGTAAGTGGTTAAACATTCAGATAAGATGTCGTTCGTTCGATACGAAATAAATGGTAATTGACGTCATTGTGTTATTGAATATTTAAACAATAGAGCGATCGACAATTGAAATTGTACGTGCTGTTTGACGATCGTGGCGCATCGCGAATACTACGCACCAAAAGTACCAGTCACGGTGGAACCGAGTTCGATATCGAATCGAGACCGTACTCCATTGGACCGGGACATGGCGTATGTGTAGGCGTATGTGAACCCTAAGGGTAAGTCTTTGATCTCAGCCGAGTATCCTGGAACTTCGGTCCCTAACTGGTAAAAGTCTATCGTAACCTATTAATTTTCTCTATACCGAGAGGGGGGGTTAAGGGAACACTGGATTTCATAGACGGATCTACGGTGTGTACCGTGTGCACCTTGGTACGCCCTAATGTGAATAATGTAAATAAAAAAATCTAATAAAAACAATTAAGAATAAACATATACATTAATTAAATTTTAGTTTTTTGTAAATTATACTGTGAGTGTTCAGAATAAGTCTGAAATAATAATTACATGTATTTTTTACCAATCATTATTTTACATAACTAATGAAGTCTTTTTTATTTAAATTTAAATCATTGCACTGTCTACACGTAATTGTTTTTTTTTTTTTTTTGTTATTGTTAAATAATATTCAATGTTACTATCGTTGACATAAATTCTCGCTCTAATACTGGTCTAATAGTGGTAGTAACTATTTTAAGCGAAAAAACATTGCCTTTTCTTGTAAATGGACACAGCACTGATAACGATGATTAACAAAATAATAATTTTGTTATTTTTGTGATGTGAATCAAGCAACTCAAAGACATCAGGTAAAATTATATTATTATCGTTAACTTTGTGTTCAATAACAATTTGAATTTTTATATAGCCTCTCCTTTATATTTTAAAAGAATAACAGGGTCCACTCAAATGTAAAACTCTGGGTTCGCCTATTCCGGATGTTATAGCTGAATTATCGTAAGAGGCGACTAAACATGTTGGCCAGTCGGAGCTGGTTCCCGGTCACGGGACGCAGCGAAACCTCCAGGGACTAGGGTGTCAGAGGTTTGGGCCGTGACCTCAAAAAGAGTGGCCGGGTCTGGGAGCAGTGTAACAGGATCCCATGCCAGAACAGGGCGACGACCGCGTCTCGAGCGAGCGCTCCGAAGTAAGGGACGACTTGTCGCCGCGCAAATCCAGGTGGGTCAAGGCCGAACATCCTACCGGCTATGTGCCCACTCAACGGTGGCGAATCCCGAGTTTGTTCATTTTGGCACTTTCCTACCCAGCCCCCGTCAGCCGTTGCGAGGCTTCGACCAATTGTCGGTTTCGTGGTGTTTGCATCAGAAGCTCTGTGCGCGGTTAACATGGCAAGCTGCCGATGAGCGAAGACCATGCTGGCACATGGTGTTCGAGGACTACGGATTGTCCTTGGCCCGAGCCCCGATCTATCGGGATCACTGGAGGTCACCCACGGACGAGCAGTGGTTGGACAGATGATGAATAATGGCGAAAGTTCTGGTTTTTCGATCATGGCGTTGGTGGCTCACCGCCTGGGACACGCTGAACATCATAGAAAATTGTTTCTTAGAATACGATAACATCTTGCGCGAGCCAACGGACCCGCTGTCTACCGACCTGTTTGTTCGTATGGCGTTCCAACCGGAAAAAAAATTTAAAAAAATAAAACGACCGTGTTTATTTCCTCTCGGTAAAAGATTGTTCATAAACCCCGTCACGAAAATATTTGCATCTCGTTCGTATAGATCGTTTCATCCTAACCATTCGGATAAAAACGGTGTATTTCGACTAATACGTGATAAAATTACCAAGGCCTACTAACCTAACTACGGCTTGTGGGCGGAATTTACTTGATGTAAAACTCACGTCGACTTATAGTCAATCGACAATATTTTATTTCGAAATAATATCACGGTACTAGACATATACATATATACTTATGACAACGCAATATCGAACATTTATGTGCACGGAACAAGATATACTAATATCGTCGGGTTTAATTCCGTTGAAATATACAGAATTACACTAGGAACGGTATAAGTACACGTCAATAACGATTCAACGGTATTTCTTCGTGATGTAATACGTTTAGGCACGAGTGTTCTATTTTTATTTCGAAAAAAATCGCACGGTCCGCTATTAGTGATTCGGACCCGACCAGACACGCGTATCGACCGTGTAGAAGCTCGAGAATCGTGTCCAATTTCCCATATGGAACCGCAATTAATACTGCTACTGCGTAAGTTATATCGTCTCGGAGTGTAGTGGAAAACATTTTACGCTATACGCACCGGAAGAATTATGTTGCAGGTAAAAATAGGAATCAAGAACACTGCAAGTAAATGGTAAATAGGTAGTCTGAATGGTCATCCAAGTAAACAATTAAATCGTTCAGACGAAGCATAATTTCTAATCGTTTTTAGATCTTCAACGGAGTGAGGAATGTATTTGTTAAACAATATGTTTTATATATATATTTGTTAATGCATTTTAGAGCAGTCAAAATGTTTTGAATTTTAACTTAGATTTGACCTCTGAAGGCAAATCGCATTTATTTGAGTCATTGAGAGGAAAGAAAAGTAAAAAAGAAAAATTCAATAGTTTTTTACCACGTTGTAAAACAAAAAACAATTTAAGGAAAAACAAGAACCAAAACGTGAATGATACCTGTATTATTTTGGGTAGAACACGATTGCGTACATTTGTCCTTTTTGGCAAAACGATTGCGTATGCAACTGTACGCAACGTTGTCAACTTTACTAATTTCACCGTAATATATCTAATAAATATATTTATATATAACAGTTATAACACATATAACAATTCTATAATAGTTCATATAAAAAAAATGAATAGTAAAATAAGGCTAGCTAAATAAAATAAAAGTAATTAATAAACAAATTTTTTTTTATTTATTTAAACTTACAATATGTCAATATATTACATGTTATTACAAGGTATTATTTATATAATAATGATACGGTTAAAAGAAAATAATAATAATGTTGTGGAATGAAAATAATGGATAACTAATTTTAAGAGAGATAATAGTAATAATAATAATAATATATATATTCTAAATTGACAAAATGTAGTCGTTAATAATGATAGACTTGGTTGGATGTTACATAATTTCAATTAAAATTTTAGATAAAATTAATGAGGATAGGTCTGAGAAAAGATAAAATTATAAAGGTATTATAAGACGGTGTGCAATAGTATTATGGAGAGATAATGCCTTTAGCTATTAGTGTGTTTAGGACTGATGTAAGGAGGGAAATTAATGGATTAATTAAAGAGCTTAAATTGGATATGAGTTTTGAAAAGGTATTTGATATTTGTTCTGAGATTTTGTTTTGGTTGTTGGTGGCTTCTGCATATGATTTGGTTTTGGTTCTGGGTTGAGACTGTTGAGAGTGAGGGTCAGGATCTTTGACTGGTTGAAACTTTTGAGCAGATTTTTTAAATATTGACTCGAATGCTGAGCATCCTTTGAAGTTTGCGGTGTGGTCTTTAGCGCATAGAGCGCATTTGGCTGGACTATTTCGGTCCTTGGTACACTCGATTGTCAGATGGTTTTCACCACATTTGACACATCGAGCTTCATGGTTGCAATAGTTCTTTGTATGTCCATAGTCTTGGCAATTATGGCATTGCGGTGGGCCACGTCTTTTATTAAATAGTTTTTCGATTTTTACTATTGTGTTGAGAAGAGATGTAATTTCATGGATATCATTATTATTATCTTGCTGACAGATATCCAAGAAGAATACTGGAAGTGGACAGTTGTTCCTGTTTTTGGCATTGTAAATACTCATGACTGAATGTCCCTGTTCAGTAGGAGCAGAAGTAATATCGGTATGTAAGGTGGAATTATGTAAATTTTTAATGACGACTCTGTATGTGCGATGACTTAGGGGGGTAAATGAATGGAAACTAGCGTTTGTTTCATGTAAATGATCTATTATTGCATTGTAAGTTCATTTATCGGTGGGTTGTACAATGAGGTGTGACGGAGTTGACTTACAGGTGTAACCATTGGGTCCGGTGATATTTTTTAGGACGGTGTTGAATGCTGAGAAGTTGGATATGTTTTTGATGTGGATAGGAGGAGCCACGAGCTTAGCATTGTGAACTTTGTGAGGTGGTCTGTCCGGATCTTCCGTGGTGCTAGTTGAAGGTTAATAAACAAATAAAATCAACAGTTTTTATTTGAATAAAATTATTATTAATAAATTATTTGAAAATACTCAAATTTGGATTCTTTGATATTTATAACTTACTACTTTTACTGAAACTCAGAAAATACCATATAATATAACGGAAATAACGAAATTTCATTACAACTGATATATATGATATCATTAACAATAAACATATATAATAAAAGTGATAAAACACAAAGTATTTATTAACTTTTTTAAGTTCTCCCGTATAGGCATGTGATAACACCAATATTGGTATGAAAATTGGCGTCAACCTTTAAAATTTCGTACTCATAGTGTAGTTAAAAATCAGGTAAAATCGTACTGAATCATGTAGCTTAAAAAGGTATGACCGATAACGATGCAATCATTTTTCACCAATTATTTTTCAGAAAAGTTTTTGTTTAATTATTACGAGTGTCCTGGGAATTTTAAATATCGAATTTTTATATACATTACTTTATCAGGTTTTTCAGGTTAATAATTACCATAATTGTTCTGTTTATCAATATTAAAAAATAAATTTGATTCATGATTTTAATTTGGTTCAATAGGTAAAATGCATTATTAAAAAATAATAAATATATTTTATGATACTAAAGTGAATGGTGCTGTAAGCCATAATTCATTGTTAAATTATGATTTTAGATAAATAATCTGTTTGGCCTATAGGAGGGTTACATAAATTAAAACTTTATTGACATTTAAAAGTGTTACATTCTATTTAATGATTTTTTTATTTATTACTTATGTAGGAAATTAAACAATCTGTACGCATATGATATAATAAGCATAAGTACGATAGATACGCGAACAGTAGTATTAGTAATTAATAATAAGAATTTACAAATAGTTTCTGCTAATATTATAATACTATTATTGTTTTAAATGAAACTAAAAATGTTTGAGTTTAAGAAGCCACTCGATGATAGTATTTCGATTGGAGAATCTAGTAAAATGATTGCACAATTTTTAATAGATGTCTACTTAATTTTTTTTTTTAAATAAGAAATTTCAATTTTTATCTTTTTCTAGATAATAATTATTCAACCAATTATGTGTCATCTTCATTTTGATATTCAAAAAAATTATCTATACAAATCTCAGGCGGAAACTCGATTATAATCATCGAGATTTCGGTACGTATTTGCATTGGACGTATCTGGATACGTTCACCGACCGATAACTGTATTGACGTTTTAGATACTACCGCGCGTGTCATTCGATTATTCACCACAGTCCCGTATAATATTACGACAATATCATTACATTTCCGTCGGAATATGGAGATTTTCTTTAATCCCATGTCGAGACGCCTTTCGTCAGCTACACGTGTTGCGTTCGACACTTTCCCACCCGATGTAATCGTTTTTATCATGTTTTCATCAAATTAATGTACGAATATGAATTTTCGTAACCAAACAATAAGCATTTATCAACCAGTCATGGATGTCGGTCTGAACAGAAAATCAGACGGTAAAAAGCCAATCAGTGATAAAGTACAAAAGAACAGCTGTAGATTGGTTAGTTTTTATATGATTTGTTTACGTTTGAAAACTATTTTACCAACCGCAGTACTTTAAATGGTACTCTGATGGCTTACGAGATTTTTCCGGAACAAAAAAACTAACTCAACTACACCGCTTCCCAAAGGGACAAAGATTTGTATTCATAAATTTGAAAAATCGGTGCAAAAAAACTCGACGGATTACTTGAGCATTTCGAAGGCGAAGTGAAAACGTATGGTTTCAAAAGCAGCTTTATAATAATTAGCATACACAATTTTTGAAATTTTTACATAGAAAAAAAAAAGAATAAGTTAAGGTTTTACAATTATGATATGAAAATCAACACAAAACCAAAGAGTACACACATATGGTGTATGTAGATATATGTACGAGTATTTTATATGTATATACAGGAATTTATGAGTTTTATAGTTTTTTTACAGCTGTTTTTCAAACCAATAATATGATAGGTCACTGATCCTCTCACCACAAAATAAAAAATATTGGTGTTAAAAAAGTTTCAAAAATTAGTTACCAATTTATAATAATTCGTAATTACGAATTTGGAATTTTTAACTTAAGTATAACGACCCTAAATCAATATAAATCATATAAATTATAACAAAATAATTAATAGTTATTTTGGGTGGG